TGAAATGCGTAATTTCTATGTAGGATATACTACGTCATAGTGGAGCAATAAAAATGGCTAAAAGCGCTCGTCAAATTAGTAGGAGACGAAAGGCATTAACTAAGCTTTGAAAAGTAACAATTATGTAAAAAAGTACGTGGAAGCTCATGGTGCTAACGGTTTTCTTTTTTTTTATTATTAAAAATTTTGGTGAAGTTGGCGAACAATTTTATACAAAGGCCATAATTGAGCTATAATTGCAACTTCAAAGAAGCAGATTGACGAATATTTACCTTTATATTGTATTTTTTCAATATTAGGGATGCCAATTCAAATTTTTATTATTATAATAATTTAAATTACAAATTGTGATATGTTGTATAGACAACCCAACATACAGGAAATATTCTTGTTGATAGAAATGGGTTTATTTGTATTATATTCAAGCTCAATTAAATATATTTTTTGAATTATTAGTTCTATTTTTCAACTGTTTGTATTACGAATGTAATGTCTATTTTATAATATCAGCAAATAAGTAATATTTGAAGACGTTGTAATGCTATAGTTCTGAATTACTTTTTTTTAGGATTACGCCAAGACAATAAATTACTGGAGATATTAAAGGCAAATATATATTGCTTTTTTCCTACCAGTTCACAAGACGTAATAAGGGTTCTTTGAAAAATGGTCAATTGACTTTGTACAATCTAAGGAAGGAGGGTCTCACATAGTTGGATATTTTTTTGGGTTTATTATCAAATTGGAATTTTTTTACTACTTAAAATGAAAAAGGTTTTTGTGGTAGACAATAATACCTAAGTAATACATAATTGCAATTGTAAGATATGTGCTTACAAACAAAAATGTAATTAAGATGGTAGAATAGAACTTTAAAATAGTTTCTCATTTGCAAAATTGTTAAAAACAGTTTTTAATTGTTGTTATGTGTTAGACAAGACCACATAAATGATTTATGATTGTTATTGTATGTATTTATAGTACTTATTTAACGGTTTTTGAGTGCGTTGCCAAATAGTTACATTCCGGAACTACTTTTACTAATTTTTAATAAAATGTACAAAATAATTGAAACATGAAAAAGCGCTCCTCAAATTATTAGGAGACGGAAGGCATTAACTAAGTTTTTAGAAGGAACAATTATGTAAAAAAGGTACGTAGAATCTCATGGTGCTAGTGATTTTTGAGTGCGTTGCCAAATAGTTACATTCCGGAACTACTTTTGCTAATTTTTAATAAAATGTACAAAATAATTGAAACTTGAAAAAGCGCTCGTCAAATTATTAGCAGACGGAAGGCATTAACTAAGTTTTGAGAAGGAACAATTATGTAAAAAAGTACGTAGAATCTCATGGTGCAAACGGTTTTTGAGTGCGTTGCCAAATAGTTACATTCCGGAACCACATTTGCTAATTTTCAATAAAATATACAAAATAATTGAAACATTAAAAAGCGCTCCTCAAATTACCNTATTATATCACAAATTAAGACATATAAGGTCTGTAAAAGAGAAGATTTCGGTAAATGTTAGTTAATAAAGATCATTACCACTTGTATATGATTATCAGATAAGTTACATAAGTACTTTGTTTAAAGATTTACATTTTACTTTTAAATATTTCAGTAATAGTATTCACAAACAATTATTGAAGTTGAAAGATAAGTATAATGGTAAGTCTTCAAACAAATTTTCAGTAAAACATTGTTTAAAATAATTATAACTACTCAATGAAAAATTTAGCAGTTCAATTACATACTTTACGTTCTTAGTTTTACATTTAAAATTAATAATAATATAAAATTGGATGTAGAAAACAATGTAGAATTTACAAGCAGATTTAGAATCAGACTGTAATTAATATAATTACAGCCACATAAAAATCTTGGTTTCTCACAGTCTGTTTTTCTTTTTTTAATTTGTAGTTGTATAACAAGTTTCAGTACTAATAGCAATATTTTACTGGATCTGCTCAGTACCCAAAGTACTAAATTCGAAAGCAGATTTATTATCCCAATTCCATTAATAGAACCACAGCTGCCTATTGCAGAACTAAACGATTAATATTAACACTTGTAGAATAATAAAAGGCCATACTCAGCCTTTCTGAAATCAGAAGTATAAGTAACTAGTGTGTAAATCAAGAATTATTGCTACAAACCTTCAAGAAGTATCTCAACTAATTTGTAATCAATGTTCTATGTATATATCGTTCAGATTTCACATTTCCAAGGTTATTTCTCACTGTTTACCACCAGTGTAAAACCCATTCATGAGGTATACTATTAAGCAGGATTTGGGTCATTTACTGTAGCAGATAGCCATAGATGTATCGTAATGCCTAGGGATGTACTGATTACAAGATATATCATTCGCTCTTTCTATTTTAATTAACACACCTCTATATAACTTAATTTCAGTTTACCAAAAGGACTTCTATAAGTAGTATTCACCGTAAATAGCTCGTTCATTCCCAATTTGGTGAAAAATATGTTGATGATTACCAGCAGGATTGTAGGTCCGTAAAATACATTGTCGGTTCCTGAAACTCACCAAATAATTGTTTGAAATTAAATATACATTTATCCACATTTAACATGTTAATTTTTCTATGATTTCATTGGTTTTTTGAAAAATTACGGGCTAATTAACCTGTAAATTATCTTGTAAACAAATAAACAAACAGCAGCCATCATTTTTACTGCGTTCGATAGATCTGTTGTTTAAACGTAAATTTATACAAACTTTAATATTGTTTTATTTAATTATACTCGTATAAATTATTGAGAATAGGGCATTTCAATTTGGGAGAATACAAATTAATTGAATCCTGAAGCCAATTACCTTCTAAATTTTAATTTCTTTAGGTCGGATCAGTCAATGACTGAATTTAAATTCGCATCAGTATAAATGAACGCACCTTAAGTTTCTCGGTTGAAAAAATAATAATAACACTAAATTCTAAGATTACTAGGCGGGAAAAGACCTTATGTCACTTATGCTCTCCTAATACAAAATCGCAAATTTTCGAAGTTTCTACTTAACGAATGTGATGTCCGGCACCTTCACCATTTTTAACATCTAATGTTTACGGGAATTTAAATTGATTACAAAGAGAACCGTTTGTTTTCTTCATTTTATTTTAATAATAGAAATTATTTTACGTTTATTAATTGTCCTTTGTAATTATTTACAGCAATAAATATTTAATTTTACTGAATTTAAGGCGTCATTTATGACCTTCTTAAGAAGTGAGCGTAATAAATAAAGAAAAAATGGTTTACGTTCGAAATATTTGATAGCAATATTGTTAAAGACTGATTATGTCTTTTTTAAGAGTATATTGCAATTATACTGAAGTTGTTATTAAGAGATTAATTGTATCTTATATTTGTTGTTATATTTTTATGTTTTAAGTGATTTTTTTATTGTATTTCTGTAAGATATATCAAATTTTAATAAATGAAACGAAGGGATTAGTTGAAGCACTTTTATTTCTTTTAATTTTTGCACTTACATTAGTGGTAAAAACTATTTTATTGTATTTTTATTTTATAACAACAGTATGAATAACTCCCTTAAACAACGAATAATACAAAAAAGTAACAAAATAATAATTGATTAAGGCAACATTACTCGAAAGGTTTAAACAAGCAATTAATATCTAAACCTCTTTACAGAAAATAAGTAAAAATAACAACATCCTGTTATGCACAATGAAGTAAAAGCCACAATAAACAAAAGTAATACAAGTTAAGATAATAAATAAAGGGTTTATTTGTATTATATTCAAGCTC